CACCAACAGTGGGGTCATTTCCTCTGCCAGTTTACGACAAACAGTATCACTGCATGCTTGTAGCTAAATGTAACCATACTCATAACATCTTTAAAATGAAGCAATGTTAATATACTGATCAGTTTTTTGACAGATAATTTGTGAACTGTGTGTTTTTAAGGCCTGTATGGAGATTCCCTGAAGAGGAAGGCAGTGGTCAGTGACAAGGTAAGGAAAGATAAACGTTGTCTGTTGTATCAAATCTACTTTTACTTTGACATTTCAGCTTTCTAAACTCACCGTGTCTACAGATGATCGAGATCCTTTTCCAGTTTGCTGAGCATGCTCTGAAAAAGTGTCCAGAACAAGGCAAAATCCAAGTAATGGAGCAACATTTCCAGGTAAACTAAACAAGTGTGTAGCCACATAGACAGTACTGGAGTCCAACTGAGCAGTCTACTTTGTATTAAACTGACGAGTCTGAACGGTTTCTGGTTTTACATCTGACATTATTTTTGCCAGTTTTTTTTACTTATTATTCAGGATCTGAATTCATCAAACATATTGGCCTCAAGTTCTGTATTTTGTAGAAAAAAAAGATTCCCTGGTTTGCAAAGTATTATAATTAGAGCTAGGGACGTTCCAACGAACTTCTTAGTTTACTCAAGCACAAAGAAAAATGAGACTGACTAAGAAACACTCAGATATCAGCTTCAGTTCCAGAAGAGTTTAATGGACAAATCCATTAATCACACGCTTGCTTAAATGTGCAGCACCTCGTATCGTACCAACATTATGCTCTAAACAGACGAACTGATATAAACTATAACACGAAAGCGTGATACCACAAAGATGTGTAAAAAATAAATAAATAAAGACTAAAAAGTGTGCCGGTGCATTATGAATGATGCACATTGCTCAAGAATGAATGACAACCATAACCATAATCGTACACCATCGTTTTCCCCACTTATCTGAAGTTGGACTGCACATGTGTAATCCCTCCAGTGTGTCCTGTGCCCGGTAGTACATGCCTTGCCATCACCCACCCAAGAGGCTACAGCCCCACCTGGCTCACTCTGAGCCCCTCCCGGCTGACTGAAGTCCTCACCCTCTGCTCAGGCAGAGCCCATCCACCTTTCAGAGAAGGCTTATTTCCGCCTCTTGTATCCAGGATCTCATTCTGACGGTGTTAAGAAAAAGATCAGGCCTAGACTAACAGATTGATGGTGCTTCTCAACAGTGATGCTCCATCTGGTGGCCGGTGGCTGTACAACATTTTTAGGATACAGAAATTTACCCGTGTTGTTCGAAAAAGTAATTTCCAATTCAAATCAATTCATTTTTTTTTATACAGCACCAAATCACAACAACAGTCGCCTCAA